CCCGTGGAGCCTGAAGAATCCTCCCAGCTCTCTATTGCCCACTTCCTTTTTTTCATCTCCAGGATGCCACAGGCTTGGGTCTGGCTCCTGGAGGCAGTGACTACAGAGTTGAGTTAGGAGGTGGAGCGACCCTACCAGATACTCAAACTGGGGGCATCCTGGGCTCTGGATCTGCTCCTGACAATCTGTGTGACCTGCATGGGCTCCTGTGCTCTCTGGGCCTCAGTTTCCCTACCTATCCATGAAGGGTTAGTGATCTGCATGGGCCTGACTGATCCCTGGTAAATTGCCCTGTGGCAGCGCTGAGGAAGGGGATGGGAGTGGTGAGGTGGGGGTGAAGGGGTGCAGAAGGGGACTCTGAAGGCAGCCAAGTGCATTATCACAGGAATATTAACTGCCCCCGTCACTTCTTCCAGTCCGGGAAAGGCCATGCCCATAAATTAGGGCCAAGAGTCTGCCAGGCAGAGACTTAATGAAGAAGGAGATGAACTTCACGGAGAGCAGGCAGTGTTTCCAGAGGTCATAAGTCCAGCCCCAGCCTGGAGCCAGAGAGGCAGGGGCATCCAAGGTCAAGTGTCAGGCTGGGCCAGGAAGACAAGTGCCTACTAAATATCCAGCCCCTGGCACCAGCAGTGTTTCAACTAGTATTCCCAACTGATTAAGGCCAAGCGATGTGGCACGTAGGGGGCTGAATTCAGACTCAAACCCAGTCCTCCGGACTCTAGGTAGGCCCTCCCTCCCTGGTTCCCACTCCAGGTCTGAGGAGTGTGAGCAGGCAAGGGGGCATTGCAGTGGAAGGCTTCTTGGGAAGACATTTTTGAAAGGTGGTTTCACAAAGTTCACAGGGTCACAGAACCCTGAGAAGTCTGCTGTGTTTCTTCAAGTGTGCAGCTGGTTTCCTGTCTACCACATCTCTGACAGTTACATGCACACCTTTCCTCTTCGCACCTGCTCTCTACTGTGACTGCTCTTAAAGGGACATCCTAGAGGTAGACTTTCCCTCTGCCTCTCAGTCCCTGCAGTCCCTAGGCCTCTAGGGCCCTGCTCATCTCACACTTCCAGCAGTATTCAGTATAGAATTAGGGGAGGAGGCTGGTCATTCAGCGGGACTTTGGCAGTTCTCTCTCTCTCTCTCTCTCTCTTTTTTTTTTGAGACAGAGTTTTATTATGTCGTCCTCAGTAGAGTGCTGTGGTGTCACAGCTCACAGCAACTTCAAACTCTTGAGCTTAAGTGATTCTCTTGCCTCAGCCTCCCAAGTAGCTGGGACTACAGGTACCTGCCATAATGCCCGGCTAATTTTTGTTGTTGTTGTGATTGTTATTGTTGTTTAGCAGGCCTGGGCTGGGTTTGATCCCGCCAGCCCTGGTGTATGTGGCTGACGCTCTAACCACTGAGCTATGGGCACCAAGCTGGGACTTTGGCACTTCTGAGAGAGGGTGGAAACTGGATGGTGATATCAAGGAGTCAGGGAGGAGCCAGCCAGATCCCTTCCCTCCCCTTCCCTCATCCCATCTGGTCTCCTGTGGGCACATCTTAGGTCTGATTTCTCTGTGTCACCCATGCCAACATAAGACCTGGCACAAAGAGGATGGGCAGAAGGAAGGTTATACAAGTGGGAGACACATTGCAGCTCCCCGACCCACATCACACCTCTCTACTTCCCTGATTCTTCCTCCAAAGGCAGAGGTCCTTCTAGAGCTTTCCAGTGGAGAAAGTGAACACAGATCCATGTCCTGCCCACTCCCAATCCTCCTACCTGGCCCCAGCCATTGCTGGTCTTCTCTAATCCTCAGACTAACAAGATCTTCCTGACTCTAAGCCAGTGGTTCTCAACCTTCCTAATGCCTCCTAATGTCGTGACCCTTTAATATAGTTCCTCATGTTGTGATGACCCCCAACCCAAAAATTATTTTCGTTGCTACTTCATAACTATAATTTTGCTACTGTTATGAATCGTAATAAGTATCTGATAGGCGGGATGTATTTTCATTGTTGCAAAGGGGTCACGACCCACAGGTTGAGAACTGCTGCTCTAGGCCTTTGCAGAAGTTGATACTTCTCTGTTCTGAAAACTCCTAGTCATCCTTCAAAACCCAGCTCAAATGTGACTTCCTCTAAGTCTCTGTTGGCTGGATCAGGGGCCTTTACTCTGAACTTTCATGATTTCCTGGACTTTCTTTTCTCTAGGCCTTGTTAATTCTATTAAATATGATAGAATTATATTAGGTAAAGCCTGAATGATTTGCTGTGTTTGTAGGAGAGGCAAGGATGGGGGACTTGGGATCCTGTCAATAGTTCCAAAAAGCCAAAGGTCACTGACAAACTGCAAGGAGGATGGCAGCCCAGAGGTGACAACGTATGTTAAGGTTAAACATCAACTGGTATACAGTAGGCACTCGATGAGTTGATTTTTTATTACTATTGATTGGATATTTAGCTTAGCAGTATCTCTCATATAAAAACCTCAAAGATTTTTGCTGACAGCAACCTCACAGCTAATAGCGTGTTTTATTTGCCAGGACTCACTGCGGTCTTACTCTGCATGTCTTTCAAACAGGGAAGGTTATCTGTAGAGACACAGTACTCTAACCTGTGTTAAACAGACCATCACTATTTTGTTGTAGGGGGCTGATGGTCATTGACAGATGGGAATGCTTCCAGAGGATTTAATCCCTTCTCACAAGGAATGACTGGGAGAAAGGGTAGGGAATATTCTGGGAGAAGGTGATTTGCTCCCAGGAGGGAGTAAGCTCTCCATCATGAGTAATGTTCCCTGTTGAGACAGCTTAGGAGGCTTCCCACATTACCTCTGAGGTCCTTTTCAATGTTTAGAAGGCACAAATTCTAGAATTAGGTGGCCCTAAGATTCTAAAATGCCAGAATTCTAGACTTCTTCCCCATGGTTCTAGAACTCTGTGACTCTGAATGCAAAATAGTCCCACCTGGGGACCTGAGGTCCCACTGGCCCAGAACCCACCTGTCCCCTTGCTCCACATATCCCAAGGAGTCATTTTATCCACACCCCCACATCAAGGCTGCTTCTCTGGGCCTCTCACATATCCAGCGTGCAGTTCTTACCCTCTCGCCAGGAGAGTGTGGCGTGACACAGGACACAGGGAGTATCAGGTAATTCATCAGAGGGATGATCCCAAAGCAGCAAATGATCTCTCCTCTTTCCTGTCTGAGTAATTGCCTCTCATTCTCTCTATATGAATTTGCTCCCTATAGCCTTGTCTGCAGCTAGTCAGTCTAACTACATTGCCACCCCCACCCTCACCCCAAAGATGTAGAGGAAGCATCTGATACCATCTTGGCTGCGCATTACCCCATCCCTGAGGATAAAAAGCAAACTGGCTTGGACAGCAACGGCATCCCAATGGGAAGTCCCTCCATGTGTCTAGCCTTAACCCTGCTATGTGAAGTCAGAGCCCCTATCTTCTCTTGAAGTCTAGGAGAAGACATCACCACAGCTCCACCTCAGGGAGGTCCAAAATGCCCTCCCATGTGTCCCCTCCCAACCCACCAGTGCCCCAAGGTCATCAGGAATGACACGGCACCACTTAACAAAGGCAGAATATCTGAGATTATTGCAGACTTTATAGAAAACTGCCCAAGGGACATCCAGAGTTTTGGGGTAGGGGAAGGCGGGCCTCAAGCCAATATATTAAAGGAGGGTGATTTCCTGTGTGCAGAGGCAGCACAGGCCAGCCATTCTGCCTGATCTAGGGGGTGGGGAGTCAGGGAGAGGTGACCCCTCCCCACTCACCAATTGTGCTTTGGGACCATGCAGAAGGCAGGGTGCTAAGACTCTGGCCCTGAACCAGGAGGCTTTGTGACTGAGGCAGGAGGCAAGACCCCCTTCTCTTTCAGAAGGCTTATGGGGTGGGGTCGTGGTGGCAAAGAATCCCCAGGGGAGAAGAACCACAGTAAGTAGGAAAGAGTGTGGAGAAATTGGTGAGCAGCAGCTCCTCCCCCTTCAGAGCTGTTCCCTGACCCACTCCGAGGCCACAAAGGACGAGAGACTCTGGTCAAGAGGCCCCACCTCTCCACCTATACACTTAGGACTCTCTCCTTCCCTACAGGATCTGCCAGTAAGCACTAGGGTTGCTTGGCACCTGCACCTGTCTGGCAGGTGCTAATCCTGGGAGGAAAGAGGGGTGAGCACATCCCAGGGCTGGCTTTCTCACTGGACCTTGACTAGTGAGCAGCAGGGGTGGGTACTGAGAGCACATACTGGGTGTGAGGGAGTCAAGAGCCTAAGGCTTGGGCAGGGGCAAGAAACTCAGGTTGGCAAAGAGAGTCTGAGATTAAGGACAAACTCTTGAGTATTGGGAGATCAGAACCTGGGTGGAAAGGGCTGAGGGTTGGCTCCACACTAAGGCTAGAATGGGGTGTGCTTGTCCCTGGGGCAAGTAGACTGGGAGCTGAGCCCCATGCCTGGATTAAGGAAGGGAAGTGTCTGAGCCAGAGCTGGGAGGAGAGTGATGAGGGGTATGAGATATGTTCTCGGAAGGGGGGAGGGTGCCCAAACTTCAGACCCCAAGGATGTGGGTCTCCATGCAGAATGGAAGGCTCAGAGCTCTGTAATGGGAAAAGGCTCAAAGACCACAAAAACCTTCTGACCGGGGCACTCTGCCTCTGAGACCAGAATGGGATGGAAGGGCCTGTAAGCCCTGGGAGGGGAGCGTCAGTGCAGTCTAGTGTCGGGGTCAAAGCTTTCGCATTGGAGGGCAGCCCAGTCTCCGAGTGAGTCTTGAAACTCATGGTCTAGAAATGATGTTTCAGAACCGAGACTGGGCAAGTGGGATTTTGGAACCAGAAGGGATGTCTCTGGGTCTGTGACCGTGGGAGCTCTCAGAGGTGAGGGTGGGGGAGGTACAGCTTAGAGCCTCTGTCTGTTCCAAGCTCACAGGTGTCTCATCTTCACGGCTTCAGGCCAGGCAGCCCCGGTAAGGTCATCAGCTGGCAGGGGCAGCCTGCAGCCCCCAGGAGGGGAAGCTCAGAGGCCGGAGCCAGGGGACGTGGCGCGGGAGCCGGCGGACGCGGCCGGGGCGGGCGCGCGGCGCGGGTCGGCGTCCTGCTCGTAGCGGTAATGGTAGCCCTCCATCTGGTCCCGGCAGGCCTCGCGCAAGTTGCGCATCCAGCGCTGGATGCCGCGGCGATTTAGGTAGAGCACCATGAGGAAGATGAGGCCGATGAGCGCCAGCACCAGCCCGAAGAAAACGTAGGAGGCCTCTAGTTCCGGGCCGGCAGCTTCCGCTTCTTCCCCGCGACCATCGACGTTGCGGTCAGCGCAGCGCAGCCGCGCCTCGTCCAGGTCCAGCAGAGGCCAGTTGTGCAGCGTCCGCGGCGCGGCGCAGCGGAGGCGCCGCGCGTCGGGTACGCGCTCCGTGGCGTTACGCAGCCAGGCCAGCAGGGGGCGCACGGCGCAGCCGCAGCGCAGGGGGTTGTCGGCTAGCAGCAGGCGCGGCCCGGGGAGGTCGTCCGAGCGCCCGAGCGCGCGCAGCTCGTCGGGGCCCAGGCCGGCCAGCGCGTTAAGGCGAGCATCCAGCTGCTCCAGGCGCGCCAGGCGCAGCGCGGCGGGCGGCAGGCGACTCAGCCCGTTGCCCGCCAGGCCCAAGAGGCGCAGCTCGTCCAGTGGGGCGAGCGCCGCGTCCAGTGAGTCCAGCAGCACGGGGCCGCCCCGCGCCAGCGCGTGGTTGAGTTGCAGAGATCGCAGCGCAGGCAGCCCGCGGAAGGCGCTGCCGCCCAGGGCGCGCAGCGGGTTGTGGCTCAGGTCGAGCGTTGCCAGGCTGGGCAGCCCGTCGAAGGCGCCGTCCTCAACCACCTCGATGTTATTGTGCGTGAGGCGCAGCGCGGTCAGCAGCGGCAGGCGCACGGCCACCGCCGCCTCCTCCCCATCCGCGTCCCCGCCGGCGAAGGCGGCCGCGCGCAGCACAGTAAGGTTGGCGCCCACGATGGTGAGGTTGCGCGCTTCGGGCGGCACGTCCCGCGGCGGCTGCCTGAGTTCCGCGCCCGACGCGCAACGCAACAGAAGCGTGGGGCCGACGAAGCAGTAGCACTGGAAGGGACAGGGTGCAGCGGGCGGGCTCAGCGCCGCCGCCACGAGCAGCAGCCCCGGCAGCAGCGGTCCCCGGAGCTCCGGCTGTCCCGCGCGCGGGGCCATCGCGGCGGTCCCCGCATCCAGAGTCCCGGCCGCTGCGCTCACCAGTGAGTTGGGAGCGCCTGGTGAGAGGCGCGGGTGGGGAAGGTCCTTGACCCAGAGCGGCTGGCAATCTGTCTCGGTCTGTCTGCTGTCTCTAAAGTCCGAGGAACCTTCACTTTCCTGGCTGGGGACGAGAGGAGTTAGGTGGGGAGCCGAGCCCCCCGCCCCCGGTGCCCTCCTCGCCCTGCGCGCCGGCCTCCGACTTCCACGGCCGCTCGGGCTCGGAGCCGAGTGGGCAGGGTTTGCCTCCCCCTCCCTGCCTCCCGCCCTCCTCCTCCTCCCCCAGCGGAGTCTCAGCGCCCTGCACACCGAGGGAGGTGGGGTGGGCGGTTCCCAAGAAACAGAGCTTTCGGCTGCTGTGCTTTCGCTCCCCTTCTCTGACTCCAGGGCTGCTGAGAAGTTTGGCCCCGGAAGCTCTGACTTGCTTTCCCCCCTCTTCTCCCCGCATCCCCTAGGATTAAGCTGGTTCCTTCCTCCTCGCTCTCGGCACGTGTGGGGCGGGGCCGACTGGGGTGAGCGGGCAGGTGCAGCAGCGAGAATTTAGGAGGAACTTAGAGTGGGCCCCTACCAGAGGAGGCAGGGATGAAGGATAGGTTGAGAAAGTTACTCATTTTTCAGCCTCTTTCTAATCTTTATGATCAGGGAAAAGAGAGAGAAAGAGAAGAGTGGTAGAGACTGGAAAATCCCCAGCATCGGCCTTTTAAATCTGCGACCCCAGTTCTGTTGTACCCGGCTGGGTCGTCACCCTGCAGGTCCTATGGGACTAGCCTTTCTGGATCCCATCCTCTTCCCCTAGAGAAGTCTGCGCCCCTCCCCCAACCCTCTGGCTGCCCTGCCTCTGCTAGTTCTCCCATCTCCTTTCCTCCACCTGGCTACACTCTCTAAAGCACTCTGCTGGCCATGGGGACTGTGTGTGTGTGTGTGTGTGTGTGTGTGTGTGTGTGTTTGTGTTTGTGTGTGTGTAGGTAGTGATTCAGCTCTCCGCTTTCCCTCCCTGCCCAGCACCTCGGTACTCCACTAGGCCTCTGGAGTTCCATTAGACACCATCAACCAACCCCAGCCCCACCATCCCTCCAGGATTCCCCACCTGTAAGTGGTGAATGAGGTGGGAGACTTCAGGGCTCCAGAGGTTGGAAGAACAGGAGCAGATTTTGCAGCCTGGAGTGGGGGTCTCAGGAGGGGCCAGGAGTGAGGTAGGAGCTGAGCTGTTTATAGATTTGTTTTGTTCTTCTGGATTTTTTTTTTCCAGAACTGGGAAGCTCCAGACCTGATTTAAAGAGACAGGCTCCGGAGAAGGGAGCATTCCTGGCCTTAGCATGAATTATTAAGGCCAGAGAGGCTGATACTTGATCCGCAGGCCATTCGTGTATCAGCAGAGCTGGTTGGGATAGAGGCTCCCCCACCCTTTCTCTAAGAATCAGTCTCTTTCTCCTGAATTGGTAACGTGGTTGGGTTGATTCCTTCCCTGAGGTTATATTTAACAGATCGACCAACAGGGATCAATACCACTTAAGGAGAAGGGGCAGACCCTGCAGTGGCCTGGGTCTTGGGCAAGGACCAACAGTGAAGACGGGGGCTGGTAATAGGGGGGTCCCCAGTCTTTCCCTCCCCCTGCCTTTTCTCTTCCTGCCCACCCTCCAGCTTTCCCAGTATTAGCAGGAGAGAACTGTAATTTCCACATGCAGGATTGGATATGTCTATACAGATGTACACATGAGATGTACATGTAAAGGCCAGCTTGATACAAACAGACCTAGGTGTGTCCTAGGTGTGATCACACAGACTTGAGCTTACTTGGATGTGTATGCACATGCATGGGAAGGCTTATACAAGCTTGTGCACGGTTCCAGGCAGACTTAGGTGGAAATATGTGTAGACTCATTCATACATGTGCATATAGGATCATAGGTTTGAGTGAGTCCTGGTTTGTGTTCATGGATTCATAAGCACTTCCATACTTGAATATGCCTGGACTTGTGAGGATTCCTGAGGGGCAAGCTTACAGACCACTGCATGTAGTACGCACATGCATCCAGATATTTGCCACATACTAGGAGCCCACAACTGCCCTATACCATGCCCTTGGTCTATGGAGGTAAAAAGCTAGTGATGTCTTTACTTACATGGGTACAAGTGCTCAAATGTATGCTGTTGGAGTTGGCCCTCAGCTATTGCACTCCTTTTAACACTGGCCCGTGCAACTACAAGCCCCAGCTCTGACATCTCCCTTGGTGGGAGACACTAGGTCCTCACTCCTATATTTCCAGTACAGAGACTTGTGAAAGAGAACATGTAATAGATATCTGTGGATGAATGAATGAATGAATGAATGAACAGAGTAGTCTCTTCTCCCTGTTCTGCATAGAGACCCTCTGTCTCCAGCCCCTGAAGAATCAGAGATCATTCCTCCCCAGAGTTTCCTCCCCAGGCCCCAATGGTGGCTGGCTTCTGATTGGCTGATGAACCTCTGGGAAAGGGCAGGGAAGAAGGCATCCCTGATAGGGGGTGACACCTCAGTTGGAAAAAGAGGCACACAGAGAACCCAGAATCGTCAGATACCAGAGAACACGGCAAATGCATTTTGTTTTGTACAAATGGGGAAACTGAAGCCAGAGAGTCAAGGACTTGTCCCAAAGATAGTAGTGGTCAAGGTTTAGCCTAGCAACCTGGCCCCAGGGTCCTTGCCCAGGGCTCTGTCCAAAATGGTGGGCTGCATTAGAGAGGGTTCTTCTCCACAGGGAAATCTCATTATGACCCCAGGAAGCTGAGCCAAAAGTGAATGCCAGGGTTGGTTTGGTGTGACCTCAGACTTCTCTCTCCATCTTGGGTTGCTGTCGGCTTCCTCTTCTGTAAAGTGGGTAGACTTCTGAATTCCTGTTCTTCCTACTCCTCTCAAGGCTGTTGTGATAGAGTGAATTGAAGGGTCTGGGGGTCTAGCACCCATGCTGGCACCTATCCATGTGACCCTCAATAGGGTGTTGCCTCTTTCTGATTCTGATTAGCTCCCAGGTCATTTTGCCCTATTCCATGACCCTCCCTTGCCCCCCAAACAGCAAATTCACTCTAGATATTAACAAAATGAGCCTGCACTTGCTTGTCTCTATGTATGGCCTCCACTCAGCCTCCTCCCCTTTCTCCCCACTTTGTGTAGGTGTTTTGCTTCTAAGCTCTAGGTTTGTGTGTAGGGGGGTGGTCTCTGTTCTCTGAAGGACAGCCTTCTCTGTCTGGGAGTTGTCTGTGTTCAATAAATACACATCTCTTGAATTGGAGGTTGTGTGTTTATTCGCCGATGCATCCAGTATATCTTTCCTTGGACCATTTTGCCACACCTTGGCAAACCTTGACTGTTTCTCCAGTCTACTCCACTGTTGCTCAGGGATCAGTGTGAGTTTTGTCTCCTCCAAGAAGCCCTTGTGACTTCCTTTTCCATCCTTTGAACTTCATTTAGCAATCAAAGGGTTTGACTCCCCTGACCCCCTTGGCCGTCAGGAACTTAGGCTCAGGACTGGTCCTGTTAGCACACAGCTCAGGTCTCAGTACAGAGACAGCACAGGGAATATTTACTGAATGAAGTAATGATTTAAAAATCTCTGGCTCCTTCCTCCCCTCCCTATAGTGTGATCTTGGTGAGGATCCCCTGTCTGTGCTTGATACCAAGAGCCAACTACCCAGAAAGGTTAAGTGCTTTCCCCAAGGTTGCACAGCTGACTGGGACCTGAGCCCAACAGGAGCTCAGGTTTCTTGCTCATCTCCTTTGCTGCAGCCCTCCCCGTCCTAGGATCCCTCTCTCCTGGGAGTGTGGCTGGGTCAGATCCCAGGGGAGCCTGTGGGCAAAGAGCTCAGTCCCTCAGGGTTTCCTTAGGATTCAAAGCAAGCAAAGCACCCCATCCCCACCCAGGCAGAGAGATCGCCTGCCCAAATTCCAGATGAAGCTCCCCCATGTCAGCCATGCTGGACCTCAGTTCTTGAATTTATTACCCCACTAGGTCTTAGAGGCCCTCTCTGAGCCTCTCAAGCTGTTGTCCTCACCCTATGCCTCCTTTACTGGGCCCCTTTTCTCCTGGCACAGACTGCTCTCTTTAACCTTCACTGAGCCTTGGTAGGGAGCACAGAGAGGTTCCCTGAGGTCATCCAGTAGGTAGCCCCTTCCCCATCAAGTTTCAGCTCCCATTTTGTCATCAGAATTGTGTCAGTATTACTAAAGTCCTTGGGTAAGTCTCTGCCATTTCAGACCTGTTTCCCTGTCTGCAAAATGTGTGTGTATGTGTGTGTACAGGATGGTCTTAGAGGGCTTTTTAGTCCTGTACCCCTTGGCTTTTTAGGGATGGGGGTGGGAAGGGGACAGTAATACTGTGATTTGCCAAGTTGATGCCCCCACCTTCTCAATGTCTGACCTTGAACTTGGCTTCACCCAGTTAAGGTCCTAGTTGCCCTGCTATAAAGTGGTTGCAGGGTGGTCTGGGGGTCCTTCCAGGTTGGCTACTGTAGCATCCTGTGACCCAGGCTCCCTTTGTCCTTATGCTGCTTCCCTTTTCCTCTGTTCTCCCTTCTTCCCAGGCAAATGGGGGAGCAGCCGGGCAGGCCTGGCATGATGAAACTCAGTCATTAGGCAGTGGGGGAGGGTTCTCCTCTTGCAGGACTTCCTCACCAGCAGGGAGGGGGAAGCATCACTGTGGGCCTTGCTGTTCCCCTTTCTTACTCCCCCTCTCCTTCCCCCACCACCATCAGACACAGGAAAATCCATAGGCCCAAGATTCATTTTCTCCGTTGAGTCAGCAGAGGCTGGTTCTGCTTCTGAGGGACAAGCAACTGGCTTTTAAATAACTCTCTGATATTTAATACCCTCCTCCTCCACTCTGCGGCCTGGGCCTCTGGGGGAGCGCTAGAATAAAAGAGCTGGATGAGTTCTCTAAAAGTGTTCCTGCCCCTACTTCAGTCCTCCCCACCCTCAGGCCATCAAA